CCCCTCCTCATGTGACAGTTAATTGTGACACCATGCCCAACTACACAGTTTCCTTTCTTCAGTTATCACTCCACAGCCCTTTGGTCTGGCCTGTCACAGTTCGAGGGACAAAAGCCTAGCACTATCTTCAGTCTGACATCAGATCACCCCTGCTTCTTTACCTCACTTCGTCACTGCGCAAGAGCTTGAAATGCCCCAGCGTGCCGGCACGTGAAGCCTCCCTGCTGCCCGTTCTTGTTTTTCTGCTGGGGTACTTTGCCCTTGCTCCTCCTTTGGGTGGAAAGGCTGATGTCTCCATAAAAACTCTTGAACTTCCTTCTCCTCTCATGCAATTGGTCATTTCTTCCTCTCCGCTTAGGTCATTTTGTGCTGTCCAATGCACTTACCTTACTGAATTGTAAGGGTGGAGACAGCATCCTGTTTCCACATACAAAGAAGTACTTGGGCATCAAAATCTGTGATTTTGATGAATGATTTTTGATTAGTAAATAACTGGAGTGAAGATTTGAATGGGTGAATTAGTTCAGCATGCCTATTGAAGCCCGTATGCACAGAGCAAACGCCATCTTTTGCCTCTCCCTTCAATGGTTCATCATCCTCATTCTCTCTCCCCCTCCCTCATGCCCCGCCCCTCTTATGTTCTGGGACAGGGTCTCTCTGTAGCCTTGGCTGTCCTGGAACTGGCTCTGTAGACCAGGCTGGCCTCACACTCACAGAGATCCGCCTGCCTCTGCCTTCCGATCGCTGGGATTAAAAGTGTGCACCACCATACCTGTATGGCCCTATACCTTTAATCCCAGCACCCTAAAGGCAGATGGGTATCTGAATTCAAGGCCAGTCTGGTCTACAGAGTGAATCCAGGATAGTCAGGGCTACACAGAGAAACCCTGTCTTGAAGAACAACAACAAACAAACAAAACCAACCAACCAAACAAAAAAACAAAAAAATAGCAGGCCCTGGACCCTGGCCCTGGACCCTGGCCCTGGGCCCTGGGGGTTTTAGCTGCCATCACTGGTCAGCCTGAGAAGGTGTGCCTGGTGGTGTCTGACTCCTGCCTGGTACATCGCTGCCTCTCCCATAGCACTCTTGTCTAGTTCAGGTCCTAAATTTCAGTGTGCTAGCTAGGGGTTTCACCAACACTGTTCAGGACTTGGTATCTCGGTCCCATGCTGGGTCAGGTGACTGGCTTTGGCTCCGATGTTCTCCCCACCCCCCCCAATGGAATAGATTTATTATTTTTTAAACAAATTTAAACATGAGTTGTTTTACATATATGAGTACTCGGTCTGTATGTACTCCTGCATGCCAGAAGAGAACATCAGATCCCATTACAGATGGTTGTGAGCCATGATGTGGTTGCTGAGACTTGAATTTATGACCTCTGAAAAAAGCAGCCAGTGCTCTTAACTGCTGAGACATCTCTACAACCCCCTCTCTCCACCTTTGCCCTGGTTTCCCTGCGTGGGTCCTGACTGTCTTTCCCAAGTCTGAGGACTTGATTGACAACCTGGTCTGCACCCACTCACTCTAGGGCACGTGGGGCGCCTCTCTTGATTCCCAGTCCGGTGACTGGTTCTTGCTTCCTGTTGTGAGACTTCCTCAGTGCGGCTTCCAGGTGTGTCATGTTCGTGAACGTCTTGACATTTACCTTCAGCCTACCTGTCATTTACTCTCTTCCCTTCTTCCCAGGTGCCTCCTTCTGCTTTTCTGGATGTCTTCTGTCTGTTTTCATTTGTCACCCCTCATGTTACACGTTTGACATATTTGCTAGCCCATGGTCACTGGGCATTCTAGTTCTGCCTCAAAGTGGTATCACTCTGTCTGGGAAATAACTCAGAGCTCAGCGTGATCATGCCTCTTCCCACCCCCCTGGCAGCCCTCCCACCGAGTTCGGCTTCAGCACACGAATTCTGCTGTGTGTGGTCATGGATAGCACGATTTTCATCAACTCCACACCGTCATTCAAATCCTGTCACCCATGGTCTCTCACTTGAGTTACCTAAATTGCTTAGTATGGGATCTGTGCACTTACTCTGGTGCCAGGGATCACACCCTAGTCACATCTTGTTTTCTCCTTCCCTTCCCTCTTCTTTTTATACAGTGTATCTCTGTGTAACACAGGCTGGCCCCAAGCTACAAGCTTGCTCTGTAGCTCAGACAGCCCTTGAATTCTTGATCCTTTGTCTCAGCTTCCCATGTACTAGGATTTCAGGCCTGTGCCCATGCCTCTCTCCAGAACTGTGTAGTTAATAGGCCTTTGAATCATCTCCTCACACCTCTCAGGCATTCCTCATACTTTACCTGCGAAGATCCTTTTTAAGATGTTAATGCTGCTCACATCTTATCACAATTCTGCCTTTGCTCAGGGTAAAACTACCCTAGAAAACTGTTAGTTGCATGACCCTGAGAGTCCGGTGTCTTCAGCCCTGAGCTGCCTCTCCAGCCTCGCTCATTTTTTTCTGACCAGTGTTCCCTTTCTTTCAATGTACCTATTGAGTTTTAGCGTAGACTTTCCTTGCTGACACCTCTGTTGTCCGCTGCGTCCTTACTGTTCCAGCATGGCTTCTTCATTATTCCCACCCATCTTCTGCGAGCCATCGTAGATGTGCTCCTACAATGCCCCCTTTATAGAGCTTACCATAGTTTTAAATTATATAACCCTGTGTTCATCCAGTAGGACTTTCCCATTCTTGTTTCTAGTGAGGACCAGAGACAGGAGTCATGTCCATACGCCCGCAGTTTTACTGAGCCCCGTGATTAAGGCGTAATCGTGCTTCATACATGTTATTAAAGGTAGTGGGTAGCTCCAGTGAGGCCTTGTTTGTCCTGTCCTTCAGAAGCTAACTAGGGCTATGTACAGGCATGTCGTGTGTGTGCTGCTCTGTCACCGGCCTCCCTGAGGCCAAACATTGGTATATGTTGTAAAGGAAAACAATCATGAAACAAGGTACAAAGCAAGGTAACCGAACTTTCCTTTTCCACGTGTGCGTACCTAGACATACATGTATGTGGGAGTGCAGGCACATGGGAACACATGAATGTGGAGGCCCAGCATTAGTGTCAGATCATCAATGTCTGTCACTCTCCCACCTTTTTTGATGAGACGGAGTCTCTCAGTCAGATACAGCTGTGCCAGTATCATGGCTAGTCTTGCTAGCCAGCTTGCTCTTCTGAGTCTGGAATTACAGGTAGGCTGCCATTCCCACCCAGCTTTCACTTCCATTAGGGGGATTCGAACTCTGGTCCTCAGCCTTGGGCAGCAAGTGGTTTTTGTTTTTGTTTCACCATGTAGTCTAGCCTGGCCTGGAACTTGCTAAATAGACCAGGCTGTCCTCAAACTCATTGAGGTCAACCTTCCTCTGCTTCTTGAGTGCTGGGATTAAAGGTGTACACCACTGTCCCTGGCCCCAATTAAAAAAAAAATGTGTATGGATATTTTGACTGCTTGCATGTGTGCAACTGGTACCCTTGGAAGCCAAAAAAGGTTGTTGGCTCCCCTGAAACTGGAGTTACAGATGGTTTTAAGTCACCATGTGGATGCTTGGAATTGAACCTGGGTCCTCTGGAAGAGTAGCCAGTGCTCTTAACTATTGAACCATCTCTCGAGGCAGGAAATATTTTAATTTACTCAACCATCACCCCTGTCTACAACTGAAATCTCTTCCAGAGGACTCAGGTTGAATTCTCAGCACCCACATGGTAGCTCACAACTGTCTGTAGCTCCCATTTCAGGGGATCTGATGCTGTCACACAGACACACACAGGCAAAACACCAATGCATAAAAATGAAAATGAATAAATCATAATACTTTATTATTTTTATGTATACAAGTCTTTTGCCTGCATGTATGTCTGTGTACCAAAAATGTGCGTAGTACCACAGAGGCCAAAATGAGCATCAGATCCCCTGGAATGGGAGTTACAGCTGGTTGTGAGCCACCATGTGGTCTGAGCCCTGGAAGAGGAGTCAGTGCTCTTAACTACTGAGTCATTTCTCCAGCTCCAGTATCGTGTGTGTGTGTGTGTGTGTGTGTGTGTGTGTGTGTGTGTGTGTGTGTGTGGTTTGGGTGTGTTTTGAGTGTGTGTGTATGTGTGTGTGCGTGCTAGGAATTGCACCCATGGCCTAGCACATGCTAGGTAAGTGCTTTCCCATTGTACTATAGTTCCAGCCACACTTCAGGTTTACGCTGACCTCAAAGCTAATAAAATTCCATCTCTTCATGTTTGTTTTCGGTTGAATTTCATGTTTAGCTGTAATAATCACTTCTTGTCTATAAATGTGATTACAGCTGTTTTCTAATATTTTTACTATTTGTTACTTGTCTGTTTTGTTTTATTTATTCTTGGCTTTGGAGGACAGAGTCTTGTTGTGTAGTCCAGGCTAGACTTGAACATGTGATTGTCCTGCTTTACCTCTCAAGTGTTGGTATTACAGGTATGTGTCGCCTGCCATACCTGTCTGGTTTATGCTATTTAAAACTGTGCACTTGTACAGGTCAGAGGACAACTTCTGGAGTTGGTTCTCCTATGTGTAAATGCTAGGGATCGAACTCAGGACATCAGACTTGATAGCAAGCACCTTTACCTGTTGAGCCATCTTGTCACCCCTTTTTGACTATTTTTAAAGTGATTAACTGCTGGGCGGTAGTAGCCCATGCCTTTAATCTCAGCATTTGGGAGTCAGAGGGAGGTCAGTCTTTGAGTTATGAGACCAGCCTGGTTTACAGAGCTAGATCCAGGACAACCAAGGCTACGCAGAGAATCCCTGTCTTGAAAAATAAACAAACAAGCAAATAAATAAGAGATTAGTTTAATTTTGTTAATTGTATTGTGTTTATGCTTAATTATTAAAAAATAACTTAGATCCTTTTGTCATAGATAATTTATGTTTTCATTTATATTGTAAAATATGCATGCATAATATGGAATATGTTATACATATATATGTATATAATACATACATAACAAAATCCTTATGCTTGCTTTCTGTATTTCACAGTGGTAACAATCCGTATTCCTCATTTGGAGCAACTCTGGAGAGGGACGATGAGAAGAATTTATGGAGCATGCCTCATGATGTGTCCCACACAGAAGCAGACGACGACAGGATCTTGTACAATCTGATAGTCATCCGTAATCAGCAGACCAAAGACTCAGAGGTAAGCACTTTTTGATGTCTCACTATGTATAGCTGACACTAGGTGGTAAGAAATTGCTGTTGCAGGATGGGGGTGGAGCTTGGCATTGTCAGCACAGGACCTGTTGTGCAAACGTGAGGGTCTGAGTCTGATACCCTAGAACTCATAAAACAGCTGGGCATTGCAGCACATGCCAGTCACCTCAGTGCTGGGGAGGCTGAGACACAGGAGGATTCAGCTGTGTCTAGCTGACTCAGCGAGCCCCAGGTTCATTGAGAGGTCTGTCTCAAAAGGTAAGGTGGAAGGCTGGAGAATGGCTCAGGGATAAAGTGCTTGTTGTGCAAGCCTGTTGACCTGCGTTGTGATCCGCAGAACCCATATAAAAGTCAATTGCATTATCACATAAGTCTAATCCTGGCATGCCCCTACTGGGAGATGGCAGGTGGAGGCAAGAGAATTGCCAGAAGCCCACACGCCAACTGACCTGGAATACACAGCAGTGAATAAGAAAGACTTCGTTTCAGATGAGGTAGAAACAAGGATCGATGCCGAAGGTTGTCCTCTGACACACGCACGCACGCACACACACGTGCACCCACATGCATACAGAGGCACATATTTGAGTGTGCTCATACATGCCCACACATACAGAGGCAACAGCCCTGTCTCAAATACAAAAGACTAGCTGGATAGAATGAATGACACATGATTACACCGTCAGGTGGTCAGGCTGATCTTGAATTCTTCAACTCCTGCCTCAACGTACTTGGTAGTAGGGACTCAGCCTATAGATAAGTTGTGTGACATGAGAGACAAATATCTTAGTATTTATTAGTTAATGTCGATAGACTTGCTTGCTTGATACCTTGATGGGACTCATTCTTAATTTTTACCTTAACGACATTGATTACATGTAAGGCAATGCTGTTGAAGAGCAGTGAAAAGGATGGCTTGAAATCTTAAATTATTCATCTCATATCTTTCCAGTTGTTTAACAAGCCACAGTTAGATAATTCAGATTGAAATGTGAAGGGTGGTTTATGTTGCCACTAGATCTGAGTTAGCGGGACCCAGATCAAAGGTTGTATGTGTGGTTGCGTGCACAGCGCATGCTTGTTTGCATGTTTGAAGGTTTAAACTGTTCGTGTCAATCAGACAGCCATGCGATTTAGAATGCCTTTTACAGTGTCTTTTTTTAAAAAATATCTTTATTTTATGTGTATTGGTGTTTTGCCTGCATATGTATCTGTGTGAGGGTGTCAGCTGCCTCGGAACTGGAGTTACAGATTGGTGTGAGCTGCCATGTAGGTGCTGGGACTTGAACCCTGGTCCTCTGGAAGATCAGCCCATGCTCTCAACTGCTGAGCCGTCTCTCCAGCCCCCTACAATAAATCTGGAAACACTCCTAAGGACTAAAGAGTGGCATTGGAACACTAGAATATAAAAAGAATGATCTGTGAGTCAGGGTAGCAAAGAGGATCCTGGTTCCTCCATTCTTTCAAACGTAGTATTAGAGTATTGTATAAAATAATTTCCAAGGCTGGGCACTGGAGGCAGAAGCAGGCAGATCTCTGTGAGTTCGAGCCCAACCTGTTGTACAGAACTAATTCTAGGACAGCTAGAACTGCCTGGGAAAACAAAATAACAAAAAAAAAAAACAAAGTTAAAAAAATTCAAATACTATGTCTGAAGCTGTTCCACTCCCCCTGCTTGCTGGTTAGCTCAGAGTAGACGCCCATAGCAAATACACACTGCACGTTTCTTCATGCTTTAGAGTTCAGAGTAAGGAGAGTTAGAAGCTCTGAAAGAAGGCACTGGGGTGTGCTGTGGAGTGTTAGTGATAACTGGTGTTTAGTTTGCGTTGATTTTTGAGACAGGGTCTCACAGTGTAGCCCAGGCTGACTGGGGATTCGCTAGGTAGGCCTGGCCAGCCCAGGACCTTTGCACCACCCTGCCCAGCTTTTAGGGGTGACTTTAGAAGTGCATGTGTTCTGGTGCTTTGGTTTTGGTGTGATTCTGTTGCCTTTGGTTAGGGTTGGCATAGAGACAGGTGGTTTCCTGGCTGTGACGGCTAGGGCTTCCTTAAGCAGCTCTTGGTATTTAGCCTCCCACAAGGGGCTTGTTTGCAGCTGAGCCCTGAAGCTCTCCTGGGAGAAGGAGCTCTTGTGTCTGTCTTCTGTTTGCATCTCTGAAGTGATGGTTGAAGAGGCAACAGGTGCTGCAGAACACTCCCCAAGTGCAGCTTCCGAAGTGAGCCAGGTATGGATGGTCAATGGCCACATAGAGGTTTTTCTTGTTTGTTTTTTGTTTTCTTGTTCTTGCTCAAGAAATGGTATCAGGCTTGACTCTCAGAGAATATTACCAAGAAAGATAACGAGGTAAATAATATGAAGATTTGATGGTTACTACACATGAGATGATTTGAATATCTGTTCACAGGACTTCCCTTTCTTTAGAAAAAAAAAAGCATAAAAGTAATATGATTAATAAAAGATGGCTGTATCTTTCAAAAATTGAAGTGAAGGCATATAAATTATTCATTTTTCACAGATTGGACTATAGATCATATAGTCGTCTGCACTTTTTTTTTCTTCCAGCTTAATGTGTTCTGGACACATTTCCATTTCTCTATGCTTACATTTAATTATTGCTTTTGGAGACTTTCTGATATTCTGTTGCATGGATTTTTCTGTTCATTCAGCCAGCACCTTTTGCTGTTGAGGCTAATTCCTTTTTTTTTTTTTTTTTTTTTTTTTTTGCTATTAGAAGCCATGCTGTATTTGACATCTCGATAAGATGAGTAGGACCTTCCCTGTCTTTTTCAGGAGTTGCTTTCCTGTGTCACAGTGTATGCATGCATTTAAAATGGAAACAGGAGGTGGGGGTGGGTAGTTACCAGCCCCAGCTGCTCTTCTAGAGGATTCAGGTTCAATTCCCAGCATCCACATGGCAGCTCACAACTATGTAAAACTCTAGTTGCAGGTGATCTGACACCATCTTCTGGCCTCCATGGACGCCAGGCACCTGCATGGTGCATGTAAATACACACAGGCAAAGCACTTATACATATAAAATAAAATAGAATAAAGAATTTAAATGGGGACTAGCAGAACAGTGAGGGTACAGAATGGAGTTTGAAATCTGAGATCGTAGCAGCGACTAGGTCAGAAGGAACATCAGTGAACAATGTTCCCTTCCGCTGAACCAAGAACCCTGAATGGCATTAGGAGCTAATGCTGCCTTTATGGGCACAGTTGCTGAGCTCCAGACAGCCATTTGCCATGCAGAGAATGTGGGCCCTATAATGTTGGAACTTCTGCTTTTTAGAGTGAAACGGGAAAAAAAAAATCTATATTTCCATTATAAAATAGCCAGCTTTTAAAAGAACTAAAGAACTTGCCAGCTAAACAAAATGTTAATAGATTACTGATAGATACATAAGTGTATACAGAATGGAGTCCACTACTCCTGTATTATCACTTTGTCCAGACTGATTGCATAATGGACCTACCATTGTTTTTAAGAAGATGAAGTAGAAAGCCAACAAACTGGTTATTTTAAGTCCGAATAAATTTCAGGCTTATTACTATGCTACTTCATTTCTCAAAGAGGATAGTATTGGTACAGATTTTTAATAAAACAGAAGATTTGGGTTTTAAAAATAAAATTCCATCTAATAAAAGGAATGCTAGATAATTTTCAAATGTATTGTTTGGAAACTCAAACAGCATGTTAAGGGAACTGAACAGTATTTCTCCGCTACTAATGCCAGTACCAAAGACCCAGGGACATATTTAGGATTCTCTGAATAATGAAAAATAATTCCAGAACAGCGTACGTGCTAGCTACAGTCTCTGCGTTGAATTCGAGCTGCTACCGAGGAACTGTACACATTTAAGGCTGACTTTTTACTCTGGATGGAAAAGCATGAAGAAGAGAGGATATGCAATGAGGAAAAGGCCCCCAACTTAACTGGCAGTGTCAAAAAAAAAATATGAAAAGTAACATCATTAGAATCTCACAGGCAGAATTCACTTGCTTTTATGCAAGCCCTCAAACACTGATGGAAACTAGACTCCTAGCAGAAGAAAGGACAGCCCCGCAAGCAGTGAAAAGCGATTCCTTGAATGAAGGTTAGAAGTGCTTTATGCCGGACTAAGAAATAGCAAACGGTGTCATTCAGTGTCATTAATCATTGTCTGTATGTCCTTGCTCATTAAACTGCTTCTCCTCTATACAGTACTCAGTTCTAAGGAGCTTTATAATTGTTTGAGATTTTTTGTCAAAGCATCTGATTTACTCATTTGTAAAATCAATAGTACATGTACTGATTTTGTCCAAGATAATAAGAATGAAAACTGTTCAGCACTAGCCGCCTCAGGTTTTGTGTCTTAGGGTGCCCTTGTAACAGCTCAGTGAAGTAAGTACTGTTATTGCTCCCATTTTAAACGACTCACTCAGGCCACATGCCTCTTAGGTGTAGAGTCAGGATTTGAATCTGGGGGCTTTATGAGTCCCAAGACGTAATAAGTAATGTGGAAGGAACACTCACCACAAGTGATTAACTTTAGACTTAGACCAGGTTTCAGAAAGTGTTGACAAAGTGGACCCAACGTATGATTTGTTGAAGCCAGTGAGTAAGAAAGGCATTTTCACGAGTGGGTGGAGCACCATCCTTGGTGAGGGGCCGGAAGTGTTTCTCAGCTTATGATTTTCCGTGGTGACCCATGGCGCTCACCATTTGCCAAATTCCAGCATCAGCTCTCTGAGCACTCGGTACTTAGTTTTGCAGTGCTGGGAGTAGGCCCAGGATCTTGAATTTGTGAGGCAGGTGTTCTGCCACTCAGTTGTGTGCCCAGTGTAGATTTGACACTCAAAAGGGATAAGAAAATACATGGGGGCTGGAGAGATGGCTCAGTGGTTAAGAGCACTGGCTGCTCTTCCAAAGGACCCAGGTTCAATTCCCAGCACCCACATGGCAGCTCACTACTGTCTGTAACTTCAGTTCCTGGAGACTGTAT